TTGTACTCTACCCAGACTAGATGCAAATATATGAAGTCATTCCAGAACTCATCCTCATAATATGGCAGCTCAAAGCACAAAATTCCAAAGGATGCAGCCAATCTCATCACCACCAGCAGAATCAAAACTTGTTACCTAAATTACAGATACTTGAATAGATATGATCTTCTGATAAGTATGACAAAATTCAATGAAAACTTTAGTTTTCTTACATGGAGTTTATTTTGAAATTAGAAATTTTTTTATAGAGGATCTGATTTCCAGATGTCAGATACATATAATTTTTAAAAATAATTCTCCTTTTTATTTTTAATTACAAGTACTGTAAATACAGTTTAGGAAGGATGGATGAAATCTGTAAATTTGTTATTCTCAAATAGTGGGATCCATGAGTGAGCACTCAAAACATCACAAGTAACATTTCAGCTTTTCACTGTTCATCTGTGCTGAACTGAAATCAAGGATTTTCCAGATTTGAGTTTGTTTTGGGGGATACTCAGGAAAATTAATATTGTAAAAGGCATGGGTTTTGGTATGGTTAGAAATATAATCAAGTTTTGAGAAATTAAATCATATGAGTAAAAAGGAACGCATATTTTCCACTGCTTCTCTCCCTCCCCAAGTTTCCAGTAAATTTTCTATTAAGACAGTTTTTTTTATGATGTTTTTATGCTGCTTTGGTAACATTTTCTATACTTAACTTCATCACATCCTCTAATTTTACTGCAGCAACATCAAAACGTAATGATCTTATTGCCATAAAGCAAAGTATTGTCATAAAAACATCTTTTCACAATCTGAAAATGTTTAAGTAGGGCAAGCAAGCCAAACCAGAAAGTTTCCTTAGCCCTCAAAAGCAAGGCACAAACACTAAACCCACAAGAAAAGCTAACAGCTTATAAATGAATAACAAAAATAGGGTGAAAAATTCAAAAGACTTAATTTCTTATTTTTCCCTTTATTGTTTTCTTCCTAATTTTTCTAGACATCCAGGGCATCTTTGTTTTCATAATAATTAGTCATAATTCACAATTACCATTACAATTCACATTTCTATTTCCCACAGTGACCATGTACCTCACAGTAAATACAAAATAAATTCAAACCTTTAAGTAGTGAATATTTGGAAAGTGAAGCAGAGTTAAAAAAAGTCTTCTCACACCATCATCATGAAAATAATGCAGAAAAAAAAACATGAATCTTTTAAATTCCGGTTGCAACTGAAGGAAACTGCTGCTAATGTTGTGGAAGAAAGAGCCCTTCTTCCTACCTTGGAAACATACAAAGCATAAGAAAGACATGTGAGAAACTGTGGTAGATTCAGTTTCTTTTTTTTTTTTTTTTTTTTTTAAAGGGAAAAAAATATATAATGATAAGTAGTATAACCAGAAATTGTATTTTCTATATGATTTTGCAGTCAATCTAGACAAACAAAAAAGGGGAAAAAAAGAAAAATAAAGTTATGTCTATCTGACATTACTTCAACTTGTGGTTTAATATGTAGTATTTTTTATCCATGAAAAATTACCAGCCAATACCGTATTAAGGATGACCTTTTCCTAGAGCAGCTCCTCCCAGCTCACTAACAGAATGATTCTCAATCAAGTGCAATCTCTACTGTTGATCTGACCATGGGCAGAAGAGGCTCCACATACAGGAGAGACAGTGCCCAGTGGTGACCTGATCCTCTCCCAGTCTTGGCTTTTCATGAAACGTTACTAAGCAGCAGTAGGAAGAGAGGTATGGAAAGACAGTGGCAATTCAGTTGGTGACGCCTTGCAGCTCTGTAGCTCAGTCACTGTGGCCTTGCTGCTGCACGTCTGTGGAAACAGCTGTCTAATTATTTTGTTATTTTGCTTTGTACAGTTGTGTTATATATAGGCTTCTCTAACTAAAAGAGAGCAATAACCAAGTATAAAATGCATCACACAATAATGCAAGCATGGGATGACAGCAGATAACTTGAAAGTACAGACACAGGATGATACTGGAGCCCCAGGACTATAAGAACTCATCAGAGGTCAGGTATTGGTCATCAAAGAAACAAACTCAGAGAAGCTGGGTAAAACCAGCTTTAGAGGTAACAAAGAGACCAAAGAACAAGTCTCAAAAATCTGTAAATCACACTAAGCAGTGAACTCAAACATAACATGGAACTGCAAACCAAGAGCAAGTAAAAAGTCTGTATTAGCAAATGCATAAAAATTAACTTAAGTGGACCCAAAAATGCAGAGGGGGAAACACCCACCCATCAGCAAGATACACCTCTTGACAAAGAACATTGGATGCTGACAACTCGCTGTAACTCTTCTGTCCCCAGCTAAAGTCATCAACCTCAGGACTCAAAGGGGCACTAAAAAGGTGAGCATAACATCAGAGAAAGGGGTAAAAAAGAAATCTTTCAGCTTTAACCATGCATAATGCAAACTTGCAGTGTTAGCTTCATTGCAACAGAACTAATAATAATTCTTTGATTAGACCATTAAGACTTTAATTAAGCTAAAAATAAATTCTTGGTTTTGTATATAAGGCGTATTCCTTTGGGCCACATAAACTGCACAGGCAGTAATGCAACAAATTGATGGAGAATTTGAGCAATGTAATCTGTAAATTGGATGCAACAAACTGGTAACAGATTGGTAGACAATGCACCATTAACACTGACTGTTAAAATTTAACACAACAAATTGGTAGCAGACACAATATATGAACTTCCAGGAAACAAATGACGTTCTCTACAGGGCCACCATTGAAGAAGTTACAGCAAGTTAAATTCTGGTTCCTTCTGTACTCCAGGCAGGAAAGCAACTCCCTATCAGCTACCTTTCAGAGGCAGATTTTCTTCCTTTTGTGCTGTCCCCTCATTGGTAAGACTCCATCCACATCTTGCCCAGCAGCACAGAAGGTTCAGAAGTGAATTTACTGACCATTCAGACTGAAATCCTGATGCAAGTAACCTCTTCAGAGAATCAGGCTCACCTTTGCCTCTACAGTGTTCAGTAATGAGATGATTTGAATTCTAGTCTAATATTAAGCACAAGACTTCCTGATTTGCTTTGGAGTAGCTTTTGAAACTGTGCAAGATGGAGTTAAATTGGAATATATTCTCAATTCTTCCTTTTCTTTTATGCTTTCTCTTGACATCCAGGTACTTCTCTAGTTGCTTTCTAGCAACATACCTGATATCCTAACAGTTTCTCTGGCTCTATTCATGCATTGTTTTTCTTCATTCTGTTATTAGATAAACAAAATTAAACTGTTTGCATTATAAATGCTTCACGTTTGTTTTGGTTTGTTTTTTTTTTTCTTTTGAGATTAGAGTTACAAATAGAAGTGTTTAAGGTTCTTAACCAAGAAGTACAAATAACAGTGGAAAATCACTTGTTCATATACTGACCTTTACTCATTGTGATCTGTCAGACTGAGCAGGATTTTGGGTGTTTCCTATTCTCTTTCTTCATTCAGACAATGCCTTTTACCACAAATTACAACATAACTGAACTCCTTACAGGTGGGGGAACCTCTTCCTTTCTCATAGGTAATGATCATTTGCTTATATTCTGAAAGTATAGACATGCTTCTTCCAAGACTCCTAATCACATTACAGCACTTAAAAAAAAAATCACTAAATTTATTAGCTTAATCAAATAGCTTATTAGTGTATTAACTGAATGACCAAGGTTATTTTTGTTGTTTTCTACATGTATTTTCAACCTTTTTTTCTGAATCTCCCTAGGCCTCCAAAATACTGATGATCAATAAGTGCTACTGCTTCCTGTGTCATCTTCCATGCTTGCTTTTGCAGGGCAGGATGTTTCCTTCCCTCCCTCTACAACATCCACCTTCCCATCTCATCACACCATTCTCAGTTTTTCTTTGGTCAGAAAAGGTAACATTCACACTTACGTCTCTCAGTTTTCACCACCATGTACTTTTGTGCCATGTTCTCTTTTATTTGCCACTTGTGCCACTCCTTATCAAGCAAGGAGTCTTGATCTTTTCAGTCTTGCTTCACATGGGAGTTTGATATGCTCCTAATCAGTTTGAAAGATCTGACTGACAAGCAGAGAAGTTATAGGTTGGCAGAGCTAATGGTTTGCTTTAAACTGCTGTTGTGTTTTAAAACTGCTGATTCATGAGCATCTGAGCTGTCCGTGCAATGTCAGCACTACAGACAGATAGAGATGATAACTTTGTCAGTCAGACGATATTATTCCATCTCTGTGTGTCAAGCAGAGCCCTGATTCATATCTTTAAATGTCTTTTACAGCTCTTGGGTTGTTTTGAGATGGAGAGGTCTGAACTGAACATAGCCAACCTAGGTCAGGCATACTTTTTAAACATTATTATGATAATATCGTCTATATCATTTTTCATGCCATTTATTAAGAAGGTCAGCATTGTACCTTATTTTTAATCACAGCTGAAAAATTAGTAGATACCTTCAGAAATACCACCACAAAAGACTGTCATGATTGTTTCCTGAATATGGTCTCTGAACACGTGCTTAATGTCCTGAGTTTCATAGCAGAGACATTTCATCTCAGAGCAAAGAGTAAATTTAGAAGCTACAGGTTATATTATTTCCTTCCCAAGTGCACCGAGTTAGCTTTGGGTGAAGACTTCAGACATTTGATAAGGATCTCAATTACCTAAGGATGTCTGTAACTGACCTGGAAATACAAACAGTTTCTTTTTGTGTGGCAACAAGTTAATTTGCCAAAAAGGAGCTTCTCCTCTTTTCAGGCTGAAGTGGCACTAATTGGTACACTTCAGAAAGGCCACACAAAATCCTGAGATAATTACTGCTGCACTGATATTATCTTCAGTAGTAACCTCTGGAAAGGCAGCAGTGCTACCCATCTGGCCTTTCTAAATTGTAGATCCTTACTGTAAGCCCCATGTGATAAAGTGTATAGCCTGAGTAGACTCACAGAACTGCTCTATTTTGGGTTTAAGAATGAGGATTTAAAAAAAAAAAAAAAAAAAAAATCACAAAATCCAGCAAGTGGCAGCTTTTTATTCTTAGGCAAATTCCAACTGTGTCAATTTCCATTAGTCAGAGAAAGATTACAGTAAAATCACTTAAATTATAATATCTACCTGTTTTAAAATATAATAACAATTATTATTATTAATAAAAATAAGAGCAATAATAATGTAATTTTATGCTGATAGTTGTCCAAGCAGATATTAATACTTACAGAAAGCTTTGACAATAAGGACTGATGTCTAGACAGTGACAAGTCATACAGGTTTATTGCAGTTGACAAAAACATTGGAATCCCCCCCTCCCAACTGAATTAAAGTTAATTCCAGAGGAAGGCTGTATATCTGAAAGGATAGAAAGATTTTGTCAAAATATGAAAGACACCTTTGCTCTGCCCCTTTGGCAAATTAAACAGATTTTTTTTTTTTCCTGCAGTTACTATAGAGTAGAATACCAGTCCTCACTGGGAAATTATAGAATTAAAAATAATTTTAAAGTACATTTGGAGTGCAGAAGGTATTTTCTCAGGGCTGATTTTTTTCATGACAAATGCATCAATATTCAGTCATTAGCAGTGTTAATATGCATAAGCAGATCTTTAAGTTACTGATATTCATAGGGACATTAAATGCTAAACATTAGCTTTACTTATGTCTTCTAAAGATCAAAAATGATGCTTTTACTACGTGAGATTAACACAATGAAAATGATGAAAATGATGCCAGTAGGATGGCATAAGGATTTAACGTAATATTCTAGGACTTTTCAATCTTGCAGAACTGCTTCTTTATGAGGGATATTTGAATTCTGAATTTTGGTTTGCTGTATTCATTTATTTGGAATAGATAAAATAATTAACAACAAAAAAAAAAACAAAACCAGTAAACACCTGTATCCAGTAAATTCCCTAAGACAGGAATATCACATGAATATTCATTTCAGTAATAAACCCCATAATTAATAAGTTTCATACCAACCATATTCCTCTGTGAGACTACTGTGACCGTTATACATCTTACTAGAAAACTTTCTATGAAGGTCAAGATTGTTCCATTGGTAGCATCAGTGGAAGCTGGCCTCTGAAATTCTCTCCTGTAAGAGAAGAGAAGTACAACTTTTTTGTATTGTTCTGGTTTTTTGTTTTGTTTTGTTTTTCCAGGTTGCTTAAAATGCAAAACTGAAACAGAATTAAAGCAGAAATCATTTATTATATGAAAAGAAAATGCAAGAAAAGTCACGATGTTCTGCCTTCCATGGAAAAGCCCTTACTGAAGTTATAAATACACATGGCCAGTTTTCACTATAAATCGAGGTGCCATATCAATGTACATCTCTGAATTAATCTTACTTACATTTGAGTATGGTCTGAATGTGGCTCATTAGACATCATGTGAAGATATGCTCAGAAACTTATTGAAAGTTTTCAGGCACTTAGTTGAATATATTCAAATCTGGCAAAGATTATATAGCACCTACCTGTGATGTTTAAGCATAGGACAGCTTGATAATTAGTTTGTCCAGATTGATTCAGCCCATGATTAAGCAATACTATGAATTCAGGCTGGGAAATCTCAAATCCGTGCTGAAAGGCAAAAGGAAACTATTATGAAAGTCTGAGAAACCTGACACAGTGTGTCTAGGAAATGATAGTGGTCTTTACAGAGTTAAGCTCCCTAAAATGAATGGCTGTTTAAAGGTAGTTAGTCTTCAGGCTCTTACAACAGAGAAAAATGGTACACACAAACCAACAGAAGGATCAGTAGTCTGTTATCGTTGTCTTTTATTCCAGGTGTACAGAAAGAACTGAAAATGAATACAATTAAGATCTTGACATTGAACTTTCAATTACAGTTTAAATCTCCATCTCTAACTTGTTCATGAAGATTTTTTGACTGAAATATTGTGCTAACATTCGTAATCAGTTTCTGTCTTGACATAGATGCTGAGATGAGGTAAGTTAAGTGTGAATAAAGAGTGTGAGGACAGGAACAGTAATTTACCCATGCTGCCTTTTGTTATATTTTTTCCCAGTTTCTTCTGTTACTTCCATTATCAGTATTTCACCTGGACTGCATTTTTCTGTCATGTGATAATATAGCACTGGAAGGTTCAAAGCTGTTTGTTTACCAACCAGCAGCTCTGGGGAGGAAAGCACATGCTGTGAGGTCAGGGTTTGAATTTCCTTATTGATCTCAACCATTGGATATTTCATCTGTCTCTCCTTCATAACTCCGAAAGCTTCAATCCCCACCCACATCAGCTGCAGGAGAACTGGAAATACTTCAGGGCTTTATGTTAACTTTTGGAAAAAAACAGACTTTCTACCTCTTCTGGAAAGACTAGCTCGGAGCCCAATAGCTTCATCAGAAGCTGGTTCTGATTAGTACTTCACAGGAACAGGTCATTAGACATTTTGTAGAAATTATAGCATGGAATACACTAGTAAAATAATGAAAATAGAATATTTTGCTTCTGATAATGCAAAAGCAAGTTGGCTTTAGAAGCAGGAGCTTTTTTACTATTTTTTAATGAGATATATCAATAGCACTGTAAAATTTCAGTTTTCCCAGCAACAGAATCAATGGAGTATTATATCTAAAATCTTTTGAATTCTCTAAATGTACCAAGTGATTCGTATAAGTCAGTTTAAAGGGCAAACTACTGCAGAATCACCTTCCTGAAAAGTTCATAATGCCAGCCTTACTCCCTCTCCAGTTATTGAATTCTTCCATAAAAGATATGAAAACATAAAGATAGTGTCACAAAAATAGTGGTTGTTTAGGAAGTTATTGCCAACCATTCTGTTACTGAAGCGTGTGCATAGAAGAAACTATTACTCCAACCCATCTCATAGGAAAGTGAAAAGATTTTCCACACACTGAGGCAGCCTTGAACATGTATGAATCACCAATATTATTTGCAATTAAATGAAGTACACATAACCATACATTCAACAGTTATTATAAACCAGCACATTAATGCTTATTCTTCACACTTAATTGTCCATTCCCACCACATAACATATTTAATTGTAAACTCTTCGAAGTGCAATGAATTCTTTTAGTAGCTTTACTGCAATTCAATTTTAATTTGCTTTTTATGTAGCATCTTTGATACAATGTATCTTGAATTGTGAGATAGTAAGGTAAAAATAATGAGAGCACTTTTCAGAGTTGCATGCCACTACTCCCATTTTAAAGCAGTAAGGCAAATGATATATGGATATAAGCTAGAGGTGAAAAGAAAATTAATGTATATTTTAAATCAGAAAAAAAAGCAACATTCAACTACTACTCCATTAGCTTTCATCTTTCCTTCATTAAATGCTTTTGGAAAGGCATCTTATAAAAGAATAACACTCTGAAATGCTCGTACTGCTCAGAAAAAGGAAGACACTTCATATTTCATGAAGCTAATTATTTTCTTCCTGCTATCATTTTGTATAGGAGACAGCAAGGAAGGCCTGTAGATGAAGTCTGAATTGCTAACTTCACTATCTTTCAGGCAAGGATGTCAGAACATATTTTTTAGATGGGCTAGAAACTTAAGGGCTTTGTAATTCAGATGACAACATGGATGCAATTGTCCATATTCTGTGGTATGACAATGACCTTTGTTAAAGCAGCCCAGGTCATGAAATCACATCAGGACCACAGCAGGCATTGCATTTCAAGCAGGAATTAAGTCTCTGAGACCTGCAGGAGGCTGCTGGTAGAAACTCACAGCAAGGTACAGACACACAAAAAGTACAGGGAAAGGATGAAACATGACATTTGAGATTACACATAACAGTGCTTCACCATCCTGCCTTATGTCTAAAGACTGCTTGGAAAGTGGGAGAGAGGAAATTCAGGGAAATTAACAACTTGTTCAAGGGAAGCCCGGTTTTGTTTGAACAAATCCAAAGGGATGAAAATTGTCCTTGAGTGGACAGATTTGAAACTTTCCTAAGTACCTAACTCCACTTGGTTTCAATGGGATTAGAAATCAAGAGGATACTCAAGATGCCAAAAACTTGTAAAAAAAACATTCCTTTCACCATTCTGACAAATAGAGACTTTTTTTTTCTTCTTTCTGAGGAGTTGAGTTCTACCCTGGCCAATCTTTACTATCATGTTGGGTCATCAAAATTCTGATACCCTTTTAAAAAAAGGAGGAGGAGAAAAAGAAGCTAAAGGAGCAGCTGTGTTCCAGTGAAGGCCATAGTTAGAAGAGGTGTTACTTATCAAGCAACAGGTTGCATAGCTGCTTTTATTTACTCTAGGGGCTCCTCAAGTTCAGAGAACAGCATTTAGGAAAGAAAGAGTTAAACCATATAAGTTTTTAATTGCATACAGTTTCTTAACTAGACTGCTAAGTAGCACAAGGCATACCCTACACATTAGCAACTCAAAGTTATAAATGATCAACAACAAATAATGAACAAATCAAATGAATAACAACATCAAATTAATCAGCTTTCTACATTGGTAAAGTATCAAGTGCATCATCAATTCCTTGCAATTTCTATGCAATATATGTTCTGCCTCATCCCCCAAACTTGGCTGACTCATTCAGTAGTCAGTTCCAAAAAAATGACTGGGGAAAGGCAGTCACCTGCCAAATTACACACTTCAGATCCAAATAGATAGATGGTACAGATAAGATCACATCCCTTTTAGGCTGATGGGACAGCAGCTCTTGTGCTAAGCAGTCTTCCCAAAACAGAGGTCACTGGTTGCTAACCAGTCTTTCATGCCGCTTGCCAACACAATATACGGTTTCCAGGAAACACTCTGGTGTTATGTGACATTTACCATTTAAACTTAAATAAAAATCTTTGACTCCTAGGCTATGAAATATGCAGGTGCAGTCCTTGTTTGACCTAGGGCTGATTCAAGTATCTAGTGAACTGCTCCACCATATCAGTCTCAAATAAATTACTTGTGCACACAAAGTTTATCACGGACTTCCTACCAACCACTTTCTGGCATTAAAAACAAGTGCAAGAATGCTGAAAGAAATAGTATCACCAGAAATGAACAACACAAACCCACAATGAATCAACATACCTATTATTAATGAAGACATTGTTACAACTTCCATGTTTTCAGTCAGCGTCGGGAAGATGATATGTGTCTGGAAATCTGTAATACTGGTAGACTGAAGGACTTGTTGATATGAAATATCCAATGGGCATGTTAGTAAATTCTGATTTTAAATCCTACTGCAGTGGCTAGGGGTGTAGAAACTCAGATTCCTTTATCTATTATAGTGGGGTGCCCTGCTAGAATAAAAAATGCTGAAAGGCAAGCTAGAACTCTTTTTGACATGGCTAAGTATAATCCAGAAAATGCAGTGTAACCATTGTTGGATCAGAAGAGGCCACTTCTGAGGTATGAACAAATATAGATAATAATATGATTAGGCCACTTTTGTGGCACCATAGTCACAAATGTTAAGTATGTCTTTCATTTAGAGACTTTTTGTGTGTGTGTTGAGAGCTTCATATTAAAGATAAATCTAAATTATCTTCAAAAGAAAAATATTATTTTCCCTTCAGAACTGTACTAAAACATTGGGAGAGGAGTGTATCATGGTTGAAACGTCAACGCTCTATGATGGTCAGAGAAATATTTTTTCCTGATACCTTGTCGTCCTTTGAGCCTGCTCAGCAGCTAAATGCCATGCAGTTGTTCACCCACCCTCCCCCCACTTGGGAATGGGGAGGGAATCGGAGGGGCAAAGAAAGATTCACCGGTTGAGATAAAAACAGTTTAATAACAGTAACAGAATAACGCTGACAGCAGTATCAGCGGGTAATGTACAATACAGCTGCTCACCTCCCGCCGACCGACACCCACCTGCTCCCGGCCGGCGATCCCAAACACAAAAGCCCCACAGCCACACTCCCGGAAGTGAGAGCCCCTCCCGGCCCACTCCTGCCTTTATATACTGAGCGTAATGTCACATGACACGGCATATCAGCCAATCCGAGCCCAGCACTCCAGCTGTGCCCGCCCCCGCACACAGGTGAGGGCACTGGGACCTGAGGAGCCCCGGGAGTCTCAGGGTGCTGCAGCTCCTCCCGCTGCCAGACCCACGGGAGCTCTAGGCCAGCCCCAACCAGGACATACCTGAAGTATCTGGTAACTTAGAAGCCTTTCAGTTTTCCAACAGCAGTCAAGGAATGGATCTATATTTTTGACTGAGATGAACAAAGGTCAATTTTAAATGCTGTGGCCATGTGGCAGTCTTGTAAGTATTTATTCACCCTACTACTGACATGAATCACTTTTCCTGATTTAATAATAGTGAAGACTGTAACTGAAAAGAACTATATATTAAAACAAGAGCTACTCTTGCTTAAGTGTAGGTGTTTTTTTTTTTTGTTGTTTTGGTGGGGATTTTTCTTTATTTTCAAGATCATGAAGCAATGATGACAATAAAAGTCTGGAGCATGAAACCTATAGAGAAATGTAGAACATTTTTTTTTTTTTTCATAAGAGGAAGTGAACTTCTTTATTATTTAGTAAATCTTGTAATTTCTTATAGATTTATTGATAAGTAGGGTGTCTTTCAAGTTTTCTTGATTAGATGTAGATACTAGGTTTTGTACACTCAGAGGTGGCATGGACTATTGATTAGACCACAGTCTTTATATGACTATTAAATCTGTGCTACTATAAACCCCTAATTTCTGCCAGATCAGGGCAGTTTTCTTTTTATCCATATTTTATACTGTCACAAAACATCCTTGCAGCAGATACATACCAATTTTAATTCAGGTCTGCATCATGGCAGTAGTTTCACACCTCTTCTGGTTTACATATTCTTTGCAAGTGATATTCCTTGTGGAGGCAATGTGCAACCTACTGGGTTGTATTTCTGAGCAACAATTGCTAACCACAAAACAACTGTGTGTAGTCTGAAATGAAAGTGAAATACAGCTGAAGCCTAACAACAGAAAAAAATTTGCAAATGTCTGCTACCAATAACAATATTATGATCCTTCTACAAAGCTGTCTATTAAGTAGCTATTTTTTTTCCAATACTTTACATCCAGATTATAATTCTTTTATTCATTTTGGCTCTCTCACTGCATGAGAATTCCCACTGACTGCAATTATAGTAGAATTTGGCTCAGAATTGGTACTTGGGAATAAGCTGTATCTGATTCCCTGTTTCAGAACATGATCTGTGTTGATAGAGAGAGTGACACTGTTCAGAGGCATAGTCACTAATCCTATCACTCCAATCTGTAATCTGATTAACCCTCAGGCTTTCTTGGTGTTTTGGAATCTGTTTTTTGGGTTTAGTTTTTAAAAATATATTATAAAATCCCTGAACATTATTGGTTCCACTACTGTTACTGTTATTATTCTGAACTGGTTTTCCTAGGAGGGTTCTTATGACCTTGGCTGTAGGGTGACTGTGGTGTGAAAATACAGACCAAAAAGATTCCTGCTTTTCTGAATGCATCCTTTATCTTTCATCATTCTTCATTCATCATCATTTATTCATCTATTCATCATGAATAAATGAGGTTTTATTCATCTGTCTGCTTTTATTCTCTTTAGTTCTTGATTTTACCCCAGCTAAACAGTATTTTTTAAAAATTTATACAGCCTCATGCAATTTCAGACATGAGATTTTCACCCATTAATTTGGTTCTCAGGGCTGCAAGAACTGTCCCTTTGATCTCATTAGCATACAAAATAAATCACTGATCACAGTGACCACAGGTTATTCTCTGTTTATGTTTGAGAAATTTGCTACAAGATTAATGATTATTGGTCAGTTCGTTTGCCCACTTTAGCTCTTTTGTACAAACCTGCTTTGTCTACGATGTAGTCCTAAAAGAGCTTTTGCACAAGGAAAGCATTTCACGTAACAACAAAACAAACTGCACTGAGGTTGATTCCAGGATGTTATTGCAAGTCTGAAAAAACACTTCGATATTAAGATCTGTTAAATTCCACTGGTTGTTGTGCAACTTCTCAGTTTATGTTTGACGATACACTGGACAGTCTACTTAGAATAAAACATTGCTCACTCTTGATCAAGTTGGGCTCAGTCAGGAAGAAATGGTGAAAAAATTATCAGAGAATTTGCACTGGTGGAGAACTTTGATGCTTTGAGCCATTCTTATGAAAGTTATCCACTAGTCCATATTTATTTTCCAATTGATAGTATATTTGGTGATATTAATGAGAAAGCATGGTGACATCAATTTGAAGTTTAGGTTTATCAAATGAAATGTAGAACACACCATAGTAATATTTGTTCACAAAGGAAAATATACATTGTTAGAATACTCAAACAGTATTAACAAAACAAACAAACAAACAAAAATTACGAGAATGCTTCAATTCCTAAAAGTGAAATACAGTATTTCTACACCTGTGATCAACATCAGTGAAATATTACTCCATCTTTCTTACTTTTTCATTACTTGCTTTTGGCTAGTGATTTCTTCTGTCATATGCCCTCTAGAAACAGGGAGACAAAGCAAATAAATCTCTAGCTAATCTGTGTTTCTGAAGGCAGCTTTCTTCTTCCACATAATTTTAATTTTCTCGTGATAATCCATACAGCACACTAATGTAAAAAATAAAAATCAAAATGTAAAATCCATTACAGCAAGAAAGGGAACATTTTGTAATCAGAATTTTTTCCTGGACTTAATTTTTCCTAAGATACTGCAGGATCTCAAAAGTTCCTAGTTTGTTTAACATGAATATTAAAGTCATCTAGAAAAGCGTGATAGCAATAGCAACATTGCGTACGATGATAACCCATAAAGCATGTTAATTTCCTCCCTCTATTTTTAATTCAGTCCAGCCGTGAGCCGTCCACTGTTCAGTACAAGATTAATGAATCACACTCTAATTGCTTTTCACACGTCAAACTCTAATCTGAGTCTTAAGGTTTCAAGAATGTAATGTCAAAACACTTTTTCTTTTGGCTAAATCACAGGAAGCTAACTCCATCAAATGCGGCGATGCATTAGGAATGATATTAATTACATAGTTTCTGAAGATTTCAATCTGTTCTACAGTTTGAGTAGATTATAACATTTAGGCATTAGTTTGAACAACATGCATTGATTCAGCCCTGCAAAGGAGGTATGCTAGCGTAACAGTAATGCCTCCCTGCATGGAATCAGTATGATCATCTTCTAATCGTCAAATCAGCTAACTTTTTACATTAATCACTTTTGTTCATCAGACAGGCTTCTGACATATGATTGCTCAAACTCAGTGTGTTAGGGCCCTGCATTCACAGTACCTTGGAGAGCTTTTTTTACGGGGTTGGATTAAATTCAATGACTTTGCTACCGTTAATCCAAAGAAGTTTCTTCTGTCACTCCTTCATACTGACAACAAGGCATGTCAGGAAGGAGGACAGGAGGTCGATATCTTTATCATACTGACACCAACATGGGGTTTTGACACTTTGCAGATGACAGCCAACACTTCAAATCAAACCAGCTTCTTATATCCTTCAACATCCTTGCTCACTGCATTGTGTAACTGCAAGGCTGAGCTGTCTGCCACATTAGCACAGACCCTTCCCTATCACTCATGCCTTTTCTATTTCTTATCTGTACATGGTATACAGTTACAGGCTTTACAAATAGGAAATATGAAGCCAATAAGGTGGAGGTGTTTTAAAAATCCTTTTCCAGTTTTGTAGATGTGACCATATAGTACAGCCACATTCTACTGGCTGCATTTTGTCTTATAGGTAAATGCTATAGAAGTGACATAAATATGAAAAAATGATTGCTAGTTTGTGGTATATCGATTATATTAATTTGACTAAAAGACTCTGGAGAGGGAATTGCACTGCCTACTCATCAATAATTTCTTCTTTTTTCGCTAGAGGCCAGAATCAGACAAGTCCCTTAAAGAGTTTTTAATAAATGCAGTTCAGGCCTCCAGAGACTCATTCCTGACCAGGAGTTTGAAAATAGCTATTTTCAACTGAATTAAAAATGTCTCTAAATACATCATGATATTCCAAAATATTGAGCTAGTTTAGATATGCTTCTAGATTTACACAGCCCTGAATAACTCTGTCTAAAGGGTTTTCTAAGTTTATAGTAGGCTAATAATTTCAGCCTGACAGTCATTAAAATATTAGCAGTATTTTTTTTCTAT